ATTTTTATACTAGATTATTGAATTAGGTAGATTTAATAAATACATAAATTATTTATTTAATTCGTTATAATACGCAATAGTTATGATACACAAGTTATAATTCATTATAATACGCAATAGTTATAATACACAAGTTATAATTCATTATAATACGCAAGAATTATGTAACACTTTTTTTCAAATCTAAAGATAACATAAAAAAGCGTTACATTTTTCAATAGCACAAATTTGCAAAATTTTAACAAAATTCTATAAGGGTAAAAATACCTATAAATAAAATTTTCAAATTTTCGTATTTTTTGAATAAAACGATATGAATTATTTGGATGAAATAAAATGGGCACTATAAAAATAAAAATTTTACGAGAAAAGATAACAACCAATAATTCACTGTCTCATTCGGAATTCTCTCAGCGACGACGGCTATCGTTATTGTGCTTTTTTGGCAATTCGAAATTAACTCTCCATTCGTACGTAACGGCTTCCTCTCATGTATATAACGACATCGGATTCACGCGTCGAATGCTGCGTCGTCAATGGATGGAGGTACATTCACCGTTACAATGGAGATCGTGAACATTTTAATTCATGAAGCGATGAATTAATCATCACTTGCAAATGTACTCTGTCTGGAATCTCGAATAGGGCCTTGAGCCATTCTTGCGTAGTTTATCATATCTTTAGTTATTCCGACACATTTACACAATCTATTTGTCATTAGCAATATTTTCAATTGCCGCATCAATGATTTGTGAACAGCTCTGTAATTATGATTTATTAAATACGCCGATGTTTTTGAAGTAAAAAGTAACGAAAAATATATCTATGGATTAAATGTAAATTTCTAAATTGTCGGTGCAAAAAATTTTCAAAGCTTATAAAAGAAAGATGGAAAGGAACGAAAGCACGTCATATTCGCACTTTAGCTTGCAGACGTAGATACTTGAACGGGGAAGAGGCGATTTCCGTCGTATAGGAATACCGGCGATCGGTCGCGGAAAGTGCGCTGATTGTGAATCGACCTGATTGCCCGAGTGCCGTCGGCGTTCAAACATCGTCCACAAAGGCGGTAATACCAGGACCGTGGCTGTAGCGCCCTTCCTAAAACGATTATCCACTCGACGAGCCCTCGGGGGGAGGGTTAGCCTCGTAACGACGTATTGTGAGGACCTCTCGTTGCGAAAAGCCCGCCGGGACTTCCTACCTCCGACGCCGGAAAATCCTCTGAGGGTATCCTCTCGAGAGTCGCGCTCCTTCGCTTAGTGTCGCCCTTCGCTTCTGCCGCTCGTCTCGCAACTCTCGCTCTCTTCATAAGAGCTCGACATCACGCGCCTCCACCGAATTCGCGCTTCTCGCAGGATCAGCTGGTTACAAGTGCGCGCCAAGATCTAGGAGGAGCGTATGCCGCGGAGTGCTTTCAGAAATCGGAAGCTTTGTCTCACTCACGTAATGCCGGCGAACAGACCACGTTGGAAGATAGTTGCTCTTTTTTGCCAAGTTTTATAGAGAAAAGTTCAGCTTAAGGGAGTTTCCGTCGCACGACAAGTCGCTGCAAATTGCAAAGCATGCCCTTGAGGATGATGAAAGTTTGGTCTCAAAGCAAGGCCTTTGTTTCTTCTGGTGGTGGGTGTTTCGCGAATAAGGCTATTGTGCGAGTAAAGAGGGGACTTTCATTTTTACGACGATGCGAATGCCGTATTGTTGCCGTCGCAACATTGAAGTAATGTTATTACGCATTAAGAAAATTAAAACAGAGCGTGACACTGTTCAAGATGTCTGTATACACAATTAATGGAGAAAAAAATGTCACTTAAATTTACGTGAAAGTTTAAAGATACGCATTTACACACACACACACACACACACACACAGCTATTTCCGACGAAGCGCCAGACAATTTTCAACAAATTATATTCCACTCGCTCTGCGAGTTTTTTTTTGTATCGCGCATCTTGAAAGTTTGATGAGATGATAACGGTATGATATATAACTCTAAACTTATCGTTAGATACAGATGCTCTGTGCCGGCATGTAATGCGGAAGTAAAATTCTCTTGAAGGGGTTGAAGCGACTTACTTTCCTGGAGCATTGGTCGCTGCTTTGCATATTTAAGCATTCTATTACCTCGACGTTCATGCATTATAACTAACGTCAACGTACGCGCATCCCTAGATCGGATCTTTTCTTTGTTCGTTCTTACCCCGGAAAAACTTGCCACGCGCATACAACCACGAGTGGTGAAAGCTGAGTGACATTTATTTCTACCTTCTTTTCCTCATATATTGATAAACGTGGTCGGTTAGACGGTAGTCAAAAGATTTCCTCATATCTTTATTTTGAATAATTATTATTTGTACACGAAAGAGTTATTTTTAATACAATTGAAAAGTAAAAAATGAAATTGTTTTTAATTTAGAATAAATTTAATATTTTAAACACTATATTTTAGGTGAATTCGATTAACATTTAGTTTTAATCGCCTTCCTGCTAAACTACATATATGTTCTACTTGAAATTGATCTCGTTGCTCAATACCCATCAATTTTTCTGCCGACTACCACTGGTTTCATCGCGCGTTTCGACACGGCAGGATCTGTGTGTTGCACATCGTTTCGCCGAGACGTGTCTGTCGCGCGTCGTTTCGCGTGCGACAAAACTTTCGGCATGAATAACCGATGGCTAATGAGTATTCCGGCTCGCTCCGGCCAGTCGGCCGGTGGGTCTTCTTAGCGTCCGTTGAATTAATAACAATCGCACGCCGACAGTTTCCAAAACGGTCGACAAATCGCCGCGAGTCGGCCGTACATCGGCCCAAGTTTCTTATCCCTCGCTCGTAACCGCACGACCACTTTCGTCCGGGATGTGTAAGAGAACGCGTAAGGGAGAACTGCTGGTTTTCTCGAGTTTGCGAAGACAACAGCTGCATGCTCGCTGAAATATTAAGGCATTCTATGCGAGAGGCAGGTTCCGTGGACAACCCTTTGGAAGGGATGCAATCGATGAGAGATAGCACGTTCCACCTACGGTTCCTCAACCCCTGCGCGCGCTCGATACGTGTATACATGCCGACGACGTTATGTTGAACTATATGGTCGCGAGAGCGGCGGGAGGGCGGCCACTCGCTCGAAATGACGTAATATGTTGTAGACGCTGTGCAACACTGTACCTACATACGCTGTATCAGCGGAGTTGCACAGAAATGGCCTAAAATACACGTCTCTACATCTTCAGAGATACATCCGAAGAAACTGCAGCTTTGAAAATAAACTCGAAACCTTTTGTACATTTGAAGACGACTGCTGGCGGATTTATCATGCCTTTCGCGTGGCAGAAATAATTCGTCCGCGAAATAATTTATACGATTCTCTTTTGTCTTCGACTGTGATACTATTTTTGTTTTAATAACCTCGTTTAATAAAGAGCGTAACGCCGTATTAGAGTAATGTGAATAATCCAATTTCTCGGAAAGTTCTATAACAGGGGTAAGAATAGAATGGAGTGTTCGGTAAAATTACGCTCCAAATATAATTGCGCTCGTGCCGAAGAAGGCAAATAACAATCGGTCTGCACAGGTGCATCACCGCCGGCCTTTTACGCGTCAGAGAGCGCGGTACGTTCGCGCGGCTGTAATCCGCGTTTCAGCCGGTCCGCTGAAATAACAGCTCGCGGCGCCTTTAATTCGTTCGACACGCGTGACGACGCGGGCATTTCACGCCTTGCCGGCGCGCGAAGTCCATTCGCGAGCGAACACCGCACAGATTTATGCCGCCCACCGCCGTCAGTTTAATGATTAAATCGCCGGGCGCGTCGCCGCGTTATCCGCGCGTTCTGTCAATCGCATTGATCATCCCGCGACATATTTGGCGAAACGCGTTAAGCGTGTTTATCGTCCGGCGTTTAACGGCCGCAGCGCGGAAGCCAATTACGCGCGGTGTCTGTTTGCAATCGGGCAATATTCATTGTCACCGGGTCGCAAGCCGCGCATAATCATACACGACGCGACATTGTTTTTAATTACGCCTGCCGATTATCTCGTTATGCGAATTGTGATTTCCACTAAACATCGCTCGGCGCTAACGCGCTATGCAATCCATATATAGCTCGCACCGTTGCGCACTTGAATTCCGGAACGACCAATTAGTGTCACTGATCAATGATTACTGATGACATATCAGAGGGATAAATTCACTTTTATTTCGCGGAAAACCTTTGACCATTCTTTGAAAGCTACATTTGCATATTAATAGGAGCCAATTCTCGTTTATGCAAAAATTAATATTGGAATCGCGATTTTCATTCAATCTGTCTAATAATGATTTAAACGATTATAGCGATGCGATAGGCTACGCCTTTAAATTTTTCAACGAACCGCGAATAAACGAGCATCCCAGTCAGTCGTGGCGGCCAGGCGCGTTAATAATTCTAACAGCGGCTTATCTAGATGCAGCATGATATACCACGTGCTATACGCGCGGAACAAATATGCGGTAATTTATTTCCACGTTATATACCTTGGCGTCGATATGCCGTTGTGTCTGTAAAAATCTACCTCAACGTTTCATGATAAACTCGCCCACTCTGTTTCTTCATTTGCTTCTATTCAAGTGGAGATTTTTGCATAAGGGGTTCTTTTTTTCAATGCCGCTGTTATCAGAGATGCAAAATTAGAAGTTGCAATTAGTCGTCGCGCTGAAAAAGACTCGCGCCATAAGACGCACTCGCCCTAGGATCTTTATTAATGAAACGTACACTTTCTTTCATTACTTTCATTTGTGATACTTGCCGGCGAAGTAAGACAACGAGTCGTGTATTGTTCTTCCGCTCTACATTCTATTCCTTTCTTCCGCTTGTCGTACGGGTTTTCTTCGAGCATGTCTCTCTCTCTCTCTCTCTC